TGAAGATATGCAGAATAATGAAATTACGCACCTAGATTCTGCAAGGTATAGATTACACCCTGTTCAGCGAAAGCTTGTCCTGCACAACATCGGTGGGTGATTTAGGTCCAGCTCTTACTGAAATAATTGACACAAGCCATAATTACACGGGAATGTAGCAAGGATATACGTAGTCATACACTTCAGACATATGTAGTTAGGCGCATTCAGTCCTGAGCTCCTCCCAAAGCTGCACAAAACATAGGGCAGATCACACTTTGAAGTGCACAACATTACTGCACCTCAACTACTTAGGAGAGATGTAAACATTCTCGAGAGAGTCCACAGACGGGTGGCAAAAGGAGTGATATGCATGCGAAACAAAAGGTATGATGAACGGCTAAAGAAAATAGGTATTATCAAACTTAGCGACCGTCAGCTTAGGGGGGAATTAATTACCGTCTATAAGATTACAGATGTTGAGAAGCACCCAAACAAAGGCGCCCTGTCACTGAAGACGTATGGGATTCCTCGCCGGAATCGGTAGATGTAACTAAGGCAGCGTCAGTGGGAAGCTTTAAGTGAAGGCTCGGTAATCATGCAGCGACACAGGGACTGCGTCGTAAAGCATATCCCCTTAAAGTCCTATTGATTATTAATGGATAGACAACTAAACTAATAGTTTCCCTTCTTCACAGTGTCTCTTGTCTTACCTTCCTGACTATTCCAACTATTAACTTCCTTACACTACCATTATTGTTATATATATATATATCAATTTCAAATTTCATTAGCGACTTGGTTATACGTTTTCTTTCTTTTTATTTTTAAGTCAGCATAACCTACAATGATTATATCTGCTGTCATTATCTTTCTTTTTGATAACGTAAAAATACAAACCGGTGAAATAATCAGATCCATTCACGTTAGTAGCACAGTCTGAGCACACTACATACTTCAACCAACAAATAATTAATTTCAGCCCCACCCCTATGAAAACAACCAAAGCTGCGACATTTGACTGGCTAGATGAACGACGCAGAATTTTACAAAACGCCAGGAACCTTTGCCTTACAACCAAGAAACCAGCACGCAGAAATCAAATTGTTTTACGCCAGCTCGCAAAAATAGCATTGGCTATTGAATGTTCTTGGGTCACTCTAACCCTGACAGCTTTTTCAAATAATGTGAGTATAGGCGTATTTGGTGACTCTAAAGAATAGCGGCCCAAACCGAAACGACCTTCGAACAAAAAAGTGACCTTGAGCAAGGAATGAGCTGATTGTATCATTTTCGGAAGTAATCATGGATGTTTTCGATTACTGTTTGGATAACGGACTGATAGCTTTGTCGAAAATTTACCAATGCGGAGGAGTTATGCATATACAAAAATACACAAAGGCCATTGATGGCTTTGTATACAGATGTATTGAGTGCCGAAGGAGGAAATCGGTTTGAGAAGGTTTGTCGTTGTTTTTTAGTTTACAGATCCCTTAGGAACTTTTCTCTCAAGGTCTAAACTACCTTCGACGAAAATTTTAATGATCTGTAACTTCTGGGTCCTGAAAAGAGCAGTCACAGCTACAGCTTATGAAACAGAAAATTCAGAGGTGTCAGCAGTGCAATGGTACAACTACTGCAGAGATGTTTCCTCCTGGAGAATGAACACCCTGACTCAAGTTCTCGGAGGAGTCGGCAGCATAGTCCAAATTGATGAGACTGTACTTATAAAAAGGAAATACAACCGCGGGAGATTACATGTAATCTCCCGCGGTTGCTTGCAAGCAAACCAGCAGTGGATACTGGGTATCTACGACACGACACTGCGCGAAGGGTATGTAGAAGCGATTCCCAATCGCAGTGCAGCAGTATTAGTGCATATTAATAAGTGTTTGGTGTTGCCGGGGACAACTGTTCATACAGATGAATGGGGCGGACACCGTCAATTATCTAATCATGGGTACATTCATCATGTTGTTAATCATACGGACGGTTTCCGGAATCCTTTGGATGGAACCCACACCAGTTCCACTGAAAGTTTTTGGAGCCGTCTAAAAAGACGTATAAGAGCGGTTAATGGATCGAGAAATACCATGATTTACAGTTACCTGGATGAATTTATGTACCGAAACTGGTTTCATATGACTATGAAGACTCCCATGAGAAACTGGGAGGTATTTTTGCAACATATACGCGAACGCCATTCTTTGTAACTGTTTATTATGATTGCATTACTTATATATAAACCGTTTTTTCCAATTATGCGCCTTTCTTTCTGGGCCTTCTCATTGGCCGAAGTTGTCCCTGTCAAGGTCATTTTTGCGTTAAAAGGTCGTTTCCGTTTGGGCCGCTATTCTTTAGAGTCACCGCGTATTTTTAATGCATTTCTGGGAGACTTTCCGGAAACTTGGCATTATTTGCCTGAGATTCTTTCAAGTGGTTTTATTTTTTGACACACAAAATTATACTTTATATCTTAAGCTTCCTTATAATCGCTGTAGATAATAGAAAATGGCAGATCTACTTAATTTAACAAACTGACAATGTTACTTGTTCTTTGTTGTAGCAGCATGTATCTCTTTTGAGAAGAGTAAATTTAGGTTAGTTTTGTCGCATAGTTTCTTCAAAAATATCATGAAAGCCTGCATGAACAGTCAGAATATGAATATATTTATATATCCAGACTTCTCAATAACACATTCTACTTGTAGACCTACGCTTATTTGTTGGTCTTCAAAATTTAATCTTGTGTACCTTGAAAATTATAGTCCTTAGGGTTAAAAGGGGGTAGAGGATAGAGGCACAAATCAGCTGATTGCTGCAGTTTTAAGGTGTTATCGTGGTGTTGTGTTTAGGCTATTCTACGTTGTTTTTAGTGGTTTTTTCGACAGAAATGCATTTTAAAAATCATATTTTAACGAAAAAACGTGTAAAAAGTGAGAAAAGTAATCGTTTTCATTGTGTTGACGAAATGCTGTTTTTTCATCGAATTGACATCCCGAGATACATAAGAAATGAAACAGTTCATTGGAAAATGTCAATTATGATAGAAAATGCTAAATAATTACAAATTTTGAAGTTTATTTTACGTATATGATGAGAAAAGGATTAAATATCGAGGTAATTATAATTTCATGATTTTTACCAAATTGCTCAGAAATAAAGGAAATTGAGTTGGTTATTTCGTCAGATAACGGTGAAGAGATAGTCATTTAACTAGTACGTACTGTCTTATATGTTTATTTATTTAACTCATCACATCTTGACTGAATGTTTATTTTTAATTTCCAGATTATGGTATTCAATCCCGCAGTCACTCAATACATTTAGACATTCTAATTGGGATTAAAAACGATAATATTTGTGTAAATGATGGAATTTTTGTGATATTAATAATGTATTTATCGAAATAAATATTGTTTTAAAAATTTTGCTCCATTATTACTTAGTGTTTGTCGAGTTGCAAAGTGATGCCAATGTAGAAAACGTAATATTCGTAAAATGGCATATTCACACGTTGCCGAATTTCGTCACGATGGGGTACTGTTATCGCTTTTGAGTAATTGCTTTCGCTAGTAAATCTTAAACAGGCGATATGCACAACAAAGGCCTATTTAATGCGTCACAGTATTTCATGATAGCAAAATAATCAACGAAGTTTAGTGACGTAGTCAACTAATTAGTTGCATTAATGCACGAGTCTAAGTGTTGGTGTGATCATGTAAGAGCCTTTTGATACGAAATGATAACACAAGAAGAGTAATGTAGTTTTCTCCTTATTACCTAATCATACCCTTCGAGATAGTGGTGTTAAACGCAACATAATAATAACGGAGTATTTGTGATAAGTAGGACACACGTCGCATTGTGTACTTGAAGTGCCTGGACTACTAATACATGTCTTCTGTATATAGAACCTACGTTTGCTAGACTTTGTTTCGTTATTACAGTACGAACACATATTTGACGGCTACCTTCTTAACAATCTTGAATATTAATCTAATACGCAACTGAAACACTTTACGCAAGGCTTGATGACGCATAGAGGAAGTAATAACAGTTTATGACTGACGCATTTCACGTAAGTATTAAAACGTTGCCTATCATTCTCGTTAACTCTGAAATGTCCTCAAAATAAGTAAAAGGGACAAAGTTAGTCGACATAAATGCATATATTTGTAAGGAAACAATAATCAATCAAATTAAAAATGATTCATAATAAAAGAGTACATATATACACAAAAAAGAGTTAATAACAGTCCAGTGAAAAAATCGCAGTTGTAGAGTTTTTATAGCTGCATCGTAGTCATCATAAAGTCCACCAAACACTCTAACCGCAACATCTGTGTCAGTTTGCCTCCGTTGTTAGTGGTATTGGACCAGTCTTTGCAGTTTTCGTCATCACCAGTTCCGTTCGCAGAAACTGGATGTGAACTTTTCAAGCAGAGATTGAGATTATATTCCTTCGACTGCCTTCGGCCGTATTGAGAAATATCTGAGGATGTATACATATCGAGTAAATTAATCTTACCTTTGGTGAACAATTCCTAATCTTAGCCACAGTGAATATGTGAACAAGGCAAAGAACAACCACAGAGTTGGTGAAATTCTACAGATTAGTCGTCCATATATTCCACGATAGATTTCAGGAATCATGTAACTTCCAAATCACCTGTCACACTTTTTCTTCTATAAAAAGCAAATATTATACAAGTGACTCTTACCCAACCGTTACAATTAACTGAAAGACGTAAAATCTCCAAACTTTATATTTCTTTGATTAAGTTACCCAGTAGCATTCTCCTTGTTACTGGATCTAATGCTTCTCACATCTGTGAAATTTATTAGCATGTTAACTTGTTCCCTTAAGCTAAAAAATATAATGTTTATCCGCTTTTATTATTGCTATTTCAAAGCCCGCCTCAGTAACGTACGGCATGTATTAGCCGCAACGTTTACGCAAAAGAAAATCTACCAATCACAGTATGCGTAAGTGACCTTCAAGTGCTCAGCCTCTCCATATGCCATTTGTGCCGCTATCCTCTATCTTTCACGTATTTCACGTTTTTGACAAATCGCTGTTTTGTTGTGTTATTCACTTCAAGAACATTTAAAAAAACTTTAACTTGACTTTTGTCTGTTAAGTTTTGATTTTAACCACTTATATAGTCTATATTGGGTAAATTGTCTTGGCTGTTTCCAGTAGAAGTTCATTATGTCAAAAGTACCACATAAATGTAATAGGGCGGAGTGTTACTTTTTGGTAGATGATGGAATACAGTGTAATAACTGTGAAAAGTGGTATCATAAGATGTGTACTGGATTACGTCCAGCTGCATACAAACGTTGTACTGCTCCAACATCCCACTGGATGTGCAGAATGTGTTGTTCCCCAAAGATGACCTTAATAAGGGAGGCTCACGAACTGCTGTCTAAAGCCATGGAACTTCCTGATGATAGCGTGGCTAGTAAGAGTGACACGGACTGCCCGTCTGAAGATGAAGCAGTAAGTGCCATCATGAATGTTATCACACCGGCGGTTACTATCCCAGTTACCCCGGAAGTAAAACCTACTAGGCGTTCGAAGCGTCTTAGTAAGCGAAAAGGTAACAAAACGGAAGCTGTAAACAGCATCTCAGAACCAGAGAACACCGTAAGCGAAGTTCACCATGAAGGTGGTGCAGACACTGATCTTGATTGTACCATCAAAAACTGCAGCAGCCCTGAGAAGCAACTGCAGGCAGATGATAAATGGGTAACAAAAATAAGCAGTCGGAAGAAATATAGTAATATTGATGGTAGGCAAACGTCTGTCACCTGTAGCCAGGCTGCATCAATAGTGGTGAGAAAGGACGTAGCCACTGCTAAATACGACAAGCTCTCCTTAGACTCTAACATAATTGTTGGAAATTTGGAAGAGTCCAAAGAATCTGATCCCGTGAAAAGGCACGATCACGACCTTAAATTAGTGAGTAGTATTATAAGGAAGATGCTCCCAGCGAATTTCCCTGGAGTATCGATTAAAAAGCTGATTAGAATAGGCAAAAGAGATGATGAATGTTCTAGTCAGCGTAGGTTGCTTAAAGTAGTCTTAGGTTCTCCTGATGAACGGAATCATCTACTGGCTAATGTACACAACCTTGCCGGGTCAGGAATTTCAGCCAGACCTGATTTATCTCTTGAAGACAGACTTAAACGAAAAGAAGTTTTGTCCCAGCTAGAAACAAGACGTAAAAATGGTGAGACTAACCTTAAACTGGTGGGTTTTCAAATAGTCAGGTCTTGGAAACGTATGCTTCCAAGACCTGTGTGGATAAGCCAGACCGCATAGGAAGCCTGAAGGTAGTGTACACTAATATACGTAGTATCGGGAACAAATTTCACGAGCTAGGTGTATTAGTAGAAGACCTTAGCCCAGGTATTGTGGCCATTACTGAAACATGGCTGGTTTCGGGATTAGATGACACACCTGAGCTATGCGGATTTAGTTGCTTGCGCAGCGACAGAGTTAAGGGTCGTAGAGGTGGCGGGGTTGCTCTGTACATCAACAACTCCCTACATGTTCGTTCCGTGAAATCTGAAGCTCATGACAGTGGGACAGGTGAGGTAATTAGCTGTGAAGTAAGCTTTGCAACCGGCACTCTACTCATTGGAGTTCTGTATAGAAGTCCCTATTGTCAGTGTGATGACTTCATTTTAGATCACCTCAAACAATGGAGTAAACACAGTAGCTGTCTTATTCTAGGTGATTTTAATGCACCTCATATAGACTGGGTAGCTGTCACATCTCCAGGATCCGCTGATAAGTTTGACAGCCGGTTACTCTTGACAACCATGGAAAATGCCCTGACACAACATGTCTTAGGTAGTACAAGATTCGGTTCTACCCAAGGATCTTCCTTGCTGGACTTAGTGCTTACTCATGACAACGACGACGTGGATGGTCTAGTTATTCATCCACCTCTAGCAAACAGTGATCATGGGGTGTTAGATTTTAACTTAAGGGCTGGCAATTTAGTCAGTTTTCAACCCAAATCCCGGCCTAGTGTTTGGCATGCTGACATAGTGGCTATAAAGGAGCGTGCTTCAACTGCCGACTGGTCAGTCAACATTGTCTCATCCATTGAAGATGAATGGGATAGATTTAAGAATACACTTGAGAGGGTTACCACTGATCTCATCCCCTGGAGGGTTCCTAAAAGGCCAACAAATCGGCCACCATGGATAAATAGACAAGCTATAACACTCCTGAGACGGAGAAAAAGGTTCTGGAATCTCTTTGTTTCTACTGGGCTACAGCAGTTCCGGCTGAAATACTGTGAAACCAGAAACCAGTGTAAAACTTTGATCCACCAGTCAAGGATAGCTTACGAAACCCAGTTAGTTAAAAGTTCACCAGGCTGCCCAAAAAGACTCTTCTCATATATCAAGAGAAGAACACGTAAGAGTGATGCTATCCCACCTCTTATGCTTGAAGATGACCAGACAAACATGGCTGAGGATAACTTGACTAAGGCTGAGGCTTTGTCCAAGCACTTTAGTCAAGTATTCTCTGATAATATTGATACCAGCTTTGTAAATTTTCCAGAAGGTAACTTGAAAATGGCACCCTTATACATTGGAAAGGATACTGTCCTAAAGTGGCTTCTAAGGCTCAATCCTGGTAAGTCCAGTGGCCCTGATGAACTCCACCCACGTATATTAACAGCATTGGCTGAAAGCATAGCCGAGCCATTGTCGGTAATCTTCAATATGTCTCTGGACCAGTCTAAATGTCCAAGAGACTGGAAAGATGCCATCATTAGTCCGGTCTTCAAAACCGGATCTAGAAACTTAGTTCAGAACTATCGTCCTGTTAGTTTGACCAGTATTGTTGTTAAACTACTAGAAAGAATAATTCGTGATGCTATCATTCAGTTCATTGAAGGGAACAAACTTTTCGCTGTGGAACAGCACGGTTTTAGAGCAGGTCATTCTTGCTTGACCAACCTTCTTTTGGCCAGAGAAAGTTGGGCAAGCTCAGCTGATGCTAATATACCGGTGGATGCCATATTCATAGACCTTAGCAAGGCGTTTGACAGGGTTTCTCATTCAGGTCTTCTAGTAAAGTTAGGTAGTCTGGGAATCAATAAAGTGGTTACCGACTGGATTCAAGACTTTCTAAAGGACAGAAGACAAAGAGTACGAGTTAACGGGGTTTTATCAACATGGGAATCGGTTAAGAGTGGCGTTCCTCAGGGTACAATTCTAGGCCCACTTCTTTTCCTGATTTATGTTAATGAGATTCCATCGGTAGTTAAGTCATCCTGCTTACTGTTTGCTGATGACATCAAGATATGGAGGGCTTTGCACGATGACAGTGATCAACTTGCTTTGCAGGAAGATTTAAACTTGTTAAGTGATTGGTGTAAGCACTGGGCCTTGGAGATTAACTTAAGCAAGAGTGTAGTTATGCATGTATCCCATAGTCACGTGCACAATTACTCAATGAATGGCATTACTCTCCCAGTGGTCACTGAGTACAAGGACTTGGGAGTGGTTGTGCAGCATGACTTGAAAACAGCAACAAACTGTAGAACTGCAGCCACTAAGGGTTTTCGAATGTTATGGGCCATACGCAAGGCTTTTGCGAACTTTGACGCTGATATATTTCGTATATTATATCCGACTTATATCAGACCTCATTTGGAATATGGGATCCAGGCAGCGAGCCCGTGTTTCAAATACGAAATAGACTTATTAGAAAGGGTGCAAAGAGTAGGAACTAAGCTAATAAAGGGTTTCTCAACCCTGTCATATGAGGAGAGGTTAAGTCGACTGGGTTTATTTCCACTGTCATACAGACGACTTAGGGGTGACCTAATACTAGCATACCGTATCCTAAGAAATGATTTTGGAGCTAATTTATCTAAATTATTTCTTCCTTCTAGCACCAACCAATTGCGAGGACATCACCTCAAGGTTCAAAAACCACGGTCGAATCGTCTGCGTCTGGAAATCCGTTTTTCGCATCGAATTGTGAACCATTGGAACTCCCTACCGGAACACGTCGTATCAGCGCCATCCGTTGATTCATTCAAGGCGAGATTGGACCTCCTGTATGCAATAAATCGAAAGGATTAACACAGGCATATAGCCTACTATCCTAAATAAATTGTAAACTGTAATTTTTCCCCGTTTTCCCATGTTCTGAAAAAATCTATTGTGGCACTTTTTACCCATTTTTTAACGGAAAACTGCCCACGTTTTTACCCATATATCCCAGGTCCAAAAGATTCCCTGACTGGAGCAGGTAATTAAAATAGGGAGAATTTTATTTTGAAAGAAAGTGAAGAAAAGCGTTAGGGCACACAATGACGGAGATCTGCTGTACACCTGAGTTTCCCATAGGATAGAAGTAGTAAATGTGTTGGATACAGAATTCAATAGATTAAAGGTAAGTTTTTACCAAAGTTATACAGGTGCGCTGCCATTAATCCGTGGCCCCTACTGTTGTTTCAGCCACTAGAAAAACTTGTTGAACTCCAGTTTGCTGAATTTATCCATACTCTTATTATTCATTCTCACTATCATATCACTGCATTAATGTCATTCCTACCAAGTGGAGATTAAGATTTGATTCTACAGAACTATTTGGAACCAACTAATTACTTGAGGATAGAAAGTAGAGTGCTTAAACGTTCTGGTCACTGAATTTTAGTAGTTGCGTTAACGCTGATATGCAGATTTTGAGTGACTTTCAGCATGAATGCAAAGACTGCTTTAGTACTTGATATCCTGTATTATCACGCTTGTAACTTCTACTTACGTATCATTTGGCGGGTAGACCGCATGAAAGTCAGTTTAAAGTTGTCAAATTTCGCATTTGAGAGAACTGCCTTAGAAAACAGCAGAGGATTGTTTATCACTCTGCTGAAGTGAGATGTAATGAAAAAGTAAGTATAGCCTACCTATCGGGATCCGAAAAAATTTAAACCGAAGAAATACTGGATTTAGGAACTTAAGTTTATCAGAAATAAGAATAGCAGAGATCCGTGAAGTATATGGTTGGTGATTTGAGTTATACAGATATATGTTTTATATGGTTAGGTTCTTCAGGAAACAAAGAATCGAAAACTAAAAACATATGGTAACAATCCAAAGTGTTTCTATTAACAAGTTTCCGCCTATCATTATTATGAAAAGTGGTCGTACATAACGGTTTCTCTAAAAAATGCCTTTAAATTACAAATTTCTAGGCTAGTTAGTTGCAAGGTAGTTCATGAATTGGTTCGTAAAGAAGTCTATTAACTGAAATATACTTTCTAAAAAAGCTATCATAATCATATGTACAAACGTCTAAGCATGTCTGATTTTCTTTGAAGATTTATGTGGAAATTTAATATTTTTGCTCCTCCCACATTTCATTTTATCGACTAACCTAAGTCATCTGAAGCACATATGCTATATTTCAGCTAGAAAATAGGCTTGCCAAAATGCATAAAATAAGTAGGTCCTGAAATATTTTCCATTTCTTTCCGAAGATATCGAGTTTCTTGTATCTCAGCCTGTCAGCAGGAGAGTTGTTAGTCTTTTGTATTGGATAGTAATGTGGGCTTCTAGGTGTGTCTTTATTTTTATAAAAGTTGATTATGTTTCTTACCATTTTTAAACAATTGCTTGGTAGTATATGTGCGGATAAGATCACACTGCATTATTATACTTTTCAGGTAAAATGTGTTTTAAATTGGCGTGAGGATCCAACATATTCAATACTAAGATGAACTTCTGATTAATTAACAAAGTTACATGTATGATAGCAAACCCACGTATCTGTTTAGTTTCATGCATGCGAAAAGGGTAATAATTCGCCAAGCATTTTGCCATGGTTTGTGGTCACCAACTAAACCCGATTTTCTTTTCGCTCTTGGCTGTCTTCCCTCTAGTGAGCAACACACAGCTTTGCGCTATGCTTACCAACGTGATGTATTGAGCTCAATGGTAAGTTGGAGTAAATACATATTTGAATGCGCGTTCATAGGTTGGGAAGTTACTTATTCGTGGAACGGCTGTACGACATTTTGGAATTCCTCCGTGTGACGTTAAACTGGAACGTTCATCTGAGGGAAGACCTTATCTGATAGATCATTATGACAAGCTAGACTTTAATATATCACATGGTGGTGATTTCACCATTATTGCAGCAACTTCTGAGGGAAGATGTGGCACCGATGTCATGCGCATTGAGCTACCACGTAAGCTTAATTTTGTTTTTTTCATTTTACCTAAACTACACCATTTAATTGATTTTATAGGTTAAAGCGGGTTAAATTACTCCAATCCATTGACTTGGTATATGATGGTACGCTAAGCATTTGGTTATATTTTTTAAGCTTCTTTTATGATGCCAGATTACCTAGGCCAAATCCTGCTTCCATGAAAGTGGAGTGCGTAAGCCAAAAAGCCTAGCTACATACAAAAGAGCTCAAAAAATGCATCAGCAGTCACCCACAGACTGTACAGAATTTCTTCATTTCGGGTTGTCAGACCTAATCAGCAAGAGTATCAGTGAACAGATAGTGATAACGTTAATAAAAGATGTTGCGGATTTCAAAAGTTGATGGTCAGTTCTGTTTACTTTGAGCCATTACCAATAATCATCAGTCCTTGATTATCGATGTCTCCATTACCCTCACCAAGCGACCAACACTTAATTACATCATTTGAATCAGTAGACGAAAGTTTCAGGTTTAAGTGTCATTTTTCAGTCTTATTATCATTATTCCCGTAGGTTCCGAGGGGAACATAGAGATTCAACAACACATCTCAACTTTGTTATATTTTCTGCTGTCCTCTTTAGATGGTCTAACGATTGTTCATAATCTGTCATCTCCTTGCAAAATCTCCTCCATGTCACCCTAGTACGACTCACTTTTCGTTTCCCATTTGGATTCGACTAGAGTGATGGCCTGCATTGAAAACGATGTCATTTGACAGTCTCCTTAATGTATGCTCAGTCCATCTCCATTTTCTCCCACATATTTGTTGAACAGTTGGCTCTTGGTTTGTTTGTTCTCACAGTTCCTCGTTTCTTATTCTATTTGGCCATTTGTTCTTCAGTGTCGAGTCAGCGAGGGCAGCTGTTGTGAAAGTCTGAAACCTGTTGGAAATCCTGTTCGTTGCGCGCCAAGTTTCTGACCCGTATAGAAGAACCGACTTGACAGGGGTGTTAAAAATGCGAATCTTGTTCCTTATGATGAGTGTAGAAGATTTCCAAACTGGTTTCAGGTTGATGAAGTCGTATCTTGCCTTTCTGATTCTACCTGGCTTTGACATCTTCATCCGTTCCACCTGTAGTTAAAACGATGCTTCCTAGATAAGTGAAGGAGTTAACCTGTGTTAAGTCTCTCCCGCAGATGACGGTTAGTGCTGGCTGTTGTTGCTGTTAGTGGTGGTTGGTTATCTTCATCATCTCCTTCTTCTCTATGTTCACCTTGAGTCCTATCTTCGCTGCCAGCCTCTTCAGCCAGTTTGTCGGTTTCCACCTGTAAGTTTTCAAGTTGGTGTGATACTAAATACATATCATTTGCGAAATCCAGATCTTCCAGAGTCTTCTTATCGGTGGTCCAGCGTATTACTTTCTCCTCGTTCCCATACATAGTCTGATACATAATCCAGTCCACCAAAATTAAGAATATCATCGGTGATAATAGTCACCAGTCTTGTCTTACCCCTGTATGCACTTCGAACGCCTCTCTGAATCTTCCGTTAGGGATCACCTGACACGTAACATTGTCATATAGCTGTTGAATGAGGTTGATAAAGACTCGAGATATGCCGTAGTACTGAAGTGGTTTCCAAGTTACCTCTCAGTCAATGCTGTCTGTTGATGGTCTTTTCGAAGTCGATGAGGTTGAGGCAGAGCGATGTTTGCCACTCTATGCTTTGTTGTGTGATGACAGTGCGTAGAGCTGCGATTTGATCAACACATGATTTGCCTTTCCTGAATCTAGCCATCTTGTTCCGGTGTGGCGAAGTATCCAGTTCATCCTTTATTCTCTCCAGGATGATTTGAGTTCTTTTTTTTTAGTATTTTACTTGGTGTAGACAACAGCATGATTCCACACCAGTACTTTCAGAAATCCAAGTCGTCCTTCTTTAGTAGCTTGTCGAGGTAGCCTTTCTTCCAACCGGTAGGTACTTTTCCTTCTTTCCCAACCTCTTGCAGTAATTGCGTGAGCACATCTGCCACAGTCTCTGGGTCTGTTTTCAGTGCGTCGGGGGTAACTCCGTCTGGCCCTGCTGCCTTCCCGGTTTGTCTTGATCGCATTTAGGAATTCTGCTTTCGTTGGAGGATTGACGTCCACTTGCAGTTCTGTGCGTATTGTTGGTGATATTTGTGGGCGAGTTGCAGGTGACTGTCAATTCAAGAGTCCTTGTCTCTCCTTGGTGGTTAGGTTCCCTTGATCATCTTTTGAACTTTTCACCTGCTTTGGTCTTTTCTTGCATTGAGATGTGGTTATCTGGTATAACGTTTTGAGATCTCCTTTACTTGCGCCCAGTCTGTTCTGCTTCAGTTGCCAGTGTGTTGTAGAATTGCTTCTTGTCTTTCGTAGCACTTCTCTTCATTTCTTTATTCAGTGCGATGTACATTGAACTCAGCTTCCCCTTCTGTTGGTCATCTTTCCATTGGGTCTTGTGTTTCACCATCCTCCTCTCTTCTCTTAACTTCAGCCTAAGCATACTTTTTTTTAAGTCTAGTATTACTTTGGCTAATACCGTTTATTTTGGGAAGACGTTTTCTCAGTACAGAATCTTCTATGGGCTAAAATTTGATGCAAATTAGTCTTGTTATCCTACCTACGACCAGAGTGAACCTCATGCCAAAGTTAATTAGATTTTTCTAAAAGCACTATCGCAACATGTTGATCTAACAGAACTGTGTGAACTATATAGCAAACCAACTTCCCCCTTGGCAGCAAGTCAATATTTCAGGAGTCACAGTCAAATGCAGTGACTAACATCAAGATATCTTAACTACTGTTCAGCAGAAAATGTGAAATCACTCATTTCTGACAAACACCGCTAGTTGTTGTTTCGAAAAACAACTCTCGGTAAGTTCTGACACTAGTAGAGTTTATTTATTAACATAACACTTTCTGGGGACATTCTAAAGTCAGTACTGAGGTAATACATAGCTGATCCTCATCGAGTCCAGCTTTCCAATTGAAAAACGTGAGAGTTATTGGACACTGTTAAATATACATATTGAAAATCCCCATTGTGTCATATGAAAAAGAGAAGACGTTCAGCGAAGAGACTCTCTTCGGCTGTACATATGCCCATAACCTTTTGAACAATGAGGATCTAACCAGCGATCCTCTTCCAAACTATAAGCAATTATGAACCCTAGAGTCGTAGATAAATATTAGTCACGTTAACTTCAACTATGTTTCACAACTGGATTTATGTTCTCTTTATGAGTTTAGATTTTCACTCGTCTGTAACAGCATGAATTCACTGGTCAACTATTATCCTAGTTAGTTTGGTCGGTAATTCTTTGCCACTGTTTTCAAATACATGTAGTCATACGGGGAGTTTCTACTGCTCTGCGTTGTTACAAACTTGTAACACCATAAATATATGTCAGAGTTAAAAGAAAACCTAGCATATACATCATATTTAGGTCGCAGTTGGATAGCGTTCAGTTGTATTCCAGTTGAACTGCATCTTGATGCGTCCTTTGCAGCATCTCAGCTGGCTTCGCCTGTATAGCAAGTCGAAATAGCTGGTGAACATGACCTCATTCTAATTCCCGACAACTGCTTGTAGTGATTACTGAGACTCAGTCGACTGAAGTAGCTCTCACTCCTTTTGATTTCCCAAACTAATCTTGCGAAAATCCTTTCAACTGAGATTAGGAGGATTCACAGGCTTTTATTAATCTTAGGGTGAAATTCATCAAATGTCTTCAGGGCTACATGTACGACAGACCTGATGTGGTCAGAGGTGAGTGTCACTTTTATTTTATAACACGTGTTCATTAACCATCTCTTTAAGGGAGAGTTATACCTCAAATGTATGGGTTAGTTTCCTAATTTTCTCATCGATGCCTGCTTCATGCTCCCATTCATCTGCAAACACGTACCCACTCGAGGATGTATTGTTGCTTGGACACCACGCTGATGGTCAAAAGGGACCGGTAGTCTATCTGTCTCCTTCATTGATACCTTTTGGCAAAATGATTTGTATTCATGGCTAGTTTAATACCAGGTATTACCGAAATAAGGTCCTCTAAATGTATAAAAATGAGGTTGACTAATCGCCGCTGTTAGTTTGATCTGGGGATGAGTACCTACCCCCTGTTGACTTATTATTGAGACAGGATTTAAATGTTTAAAGTACTAGTATGGAGTTATCTGTGTGACTAAAAATGTCGTTGGTAATAGTAAGAAAACCAATAGATCACAGGATTTCATCATGAGCTGATATTAGTTAGACAGCTGTTTCGTCCTATTTTAGGACTTTCTACCACCTGGGTTTGAAGCCAGGACCTTCCAGTTACAATGTGAAGTCTGCGCATGATGAAATCCTGTAACCAATCAAATTAGATCCTTGAAAACCAATAGGTGTTGAAGGGACTCTGTAACAGTATATGATGAGTGAAGAACAAATGAGTTTTGTGTTTTGATAGAAGCGTGCAGGCGGTAAATATTTCCTGATGCTCCGTATCGTATCATTGACGTTGATTAAACTTACCCAACACGGATAAAGGGTTAGTTTCTCATGACTACAGAACCCAGATAATGCAGAAATAATTCAGTAAGTTCATTTTAAATGTACACAGACAAAGACCTCAAAGCTGCAGAAGCATTATTAAGGTTTTAGTTCAGTTAACATAAAGGTAAGTCACAGAATTACGATTTATTATTTATGCGGATCACTGCTCCATGGAATTACGTGGCTGTACAACTTAAGCGAACAATCTCGTTAGAAAAAATTGATTTTTCCTGAACCATTTATTTTATTAGTTGTCCTCATGAAAACTGCTCTCAACAATCTCTACAGCAAATCAGGGGTGTTTTGGCTTTCGGTGTCGATATTTTCAAACCTTGTGAATTCTAAGCTTCAATTCTGTTCTTAACCATTTCTTAGCATCCCAGACATCTGTTAGGGACTTTGCATTGAAAATGAAAAGCGTCTTTTCCACGATAGAATTGGATCGTATTTTATCTCCTGATTGTGAGACTGAACGAATAAAACGGTTTTACGAACACTGGGTAAGTGAAACTTTGCTTGATGTTTTGTGACATCCAACTGCTCGCAAACCTTAATAAACGTGGATCTTTATTTAAATCAGTTTAGATTTTCCTGTTGATTGAATTAAATAGTTAATAAGACCCATTGCACAAGAGGTATCTCTCGTGATCCAAGTGGCCGAGTGAATACCTCTTTGGCGTTTGAAACTACAGGTACTGGGTTCGAGGCTCGGTGGAAACACCACCAATCACTGGGGAATGCAGGCACATCCAGATGACCAGTCCCAAATAGACGAAATGCACATCCTGGATTCCACTACTCGTCACCATCCATCAATTAATGTGGATCTTCGCTCAAAACTGCATCAATTCCTGCAAGCACAAATTAATGGTACAGGAAGAAATGCAGTGAAACTACAATAGATTAGATTGTTCTATCCGTAGGGAGAACAAAAGTAGTACATGTTTTATTTATTGCGCATAGCACGATTAGGATTAAAAGATGACTAGGCGTTCACTATACAAATCTAAACATATGTCGATCCTTGTTTGTTCTTTTAATATCTAAATAATCAACACCAATGCCATCTCTTGTAACAAGTTCGCGTTATTAACCACTCTATGACAATATAAGCTCTAGATGTAGCTTATTTGTCAAAAGCTTAAGAATCTTATATGATGATTTACCCTTCAAGCAGTTGAAAGTTCACTCTGATTATAGGGTCTGTGGGGGATTTCGCATTAATTTCAGTTGTTAGACTTCGCCACGAGCCAGTAGCAGTTAGGGAGATAATTGAAAACCAGGCAGCGCTGAACAGCAGTTTCGTCTTACTTCTGGAATCGTCATCAGTGCGCACTCGGGACTTTCAGGTTAGGAGACCAGACTCGTTGATCAATCACCTAGTTGGGCTGGAACTCAATGACCCCCTGAATTCTAATTTTATCACTTCTTGATGTAATACTGCCGTCACCAATGTCTTCGATAAGCATCCATTTCACCCTGATATGGTGGACTCTTCTGATCGGGACTTCACACTGCACCTTCAAGAAATCCACCCAGCAGCCATCGGTTAGCTGGTGACTGATATTCAGGTTATGAGATTTGTGAAGATTTAGGATTAAACTTTAGAAAAACATATCAAAACAAGTTTGCCTCCTTTTATAACTAGGGGTTTAAAAGCTCTTACAATATAAATAATTGGAAACTAATGTCACGTCGAAAAAGAATCGAGCAGTGTATCACAGGCAGGTTCAAAGCGGGTCAGGTTTCCTGTATTTTGTTTATTGGTCAAAAATATGTATTAAAAAACTATGGATGTCAGAATCTTAGAAATCACTCAGGTCAATTGATTTGTGTATATTATAATTAGGCTATTACTTCTGAGAAACTGAGACTTCCAAATGCTATGGTTTAAGTCAAACCTAGTTTGATCTGAGTGGTGATCCAAAGGCTGCTTTTGTTAAACATCTAACCTTCGATAGAAATAATGATAACTAATAAAGGTGATTGCAACTCCCAGGTGTAGATCGTCACTGTGCATTTACATAATGAGATATTAATATTTAGGATGTTCTGTCTTGAGCTGCAATACCAGTTACTCTGGGCTCAGTACTTCTAGGAACCTACAAGACTTAATCATCTGAATTTGTTATTTCTCTGTTTGGTAGGAAAGGATGGTAGTGTTTTGCGGTGATCTTAAAGCTACATTGGTAGGAGTCAGTATGATAACGGTCACGAAGTCACCAATCTAAATGAATTTTAAGCATTTGTAACTCATATTCGTACACTCTTCATTTGTGACTAAGGAATATGGAACTTAGGATATTCACTTGCGATTGTCATCTCACTGATTTAAGACACTCAGTTATCGACTGTTAATAAAAGTCGATAGAGTGACGCCTTAAATAAAATCAATTAATAGTTCTATATTTGATTTGTTATCTATTCTAGTGTCTCAAAGAAGCATATGTCAAAGCTTTAGGCTGTGGGATTCGCATTCCTTTACACACTGTGGAGTGTCATTTCCCTGAAGATGGCTATCTGTTCGCACACCGAAAGCTTACTGACGAAACAGAAAAGCATTGGGTTTTTGAGAAGCACAATCTTCCCCAAAATCATCTAGCAATTATCGCTTGGTTCGGAGATCCAAATATGGTGTGTTTTGATTATTCCTCAAGCTGTCATTAATAACTGTGAATTGCTGTGACTCTTAGCAAGTTATATTTGTGTTTTGTGTCTTTATTCCAAGCACGTATCTGTGTAAGCTGATCACATTGGTATGAATTTTTTGAGGATCATGCATTCTCACCTCTTTTATGTATCATATTTTTGCCACGTTATACTCAATTCAGGTTGTTTAAACTGTTTGTTTCTAGTAACCTGAATACTAAATAAAACAAAGATGACATATATTATGTACGAAATTTAGTATGATTAATTAAACTGACGTTGCCTCAATTATTTAGGATAACATTTCAGACAATAAGCTTGTTGCTACTCTCATATATACAAAATGATATGGTGTGTCATTTCGGTTACTGCCAGTTGATCGAATCATGTGTCAATCTGCATACACAGGGGACTAGTCTTAATATGAATGACTAATTGGTAAATTTTCTAATTCCCATACTAACGGCCCCAAGGCTAAAATTAATGATAGATTACATGACTGAAAAAGACTCCACAGTGGCACAGACGTATTCTCTTCTTGTCATTATCTGGATTGTACAAGTCCTCTGCAATCTTTATCTAATTATTCTCTCCCCCGTAGTTTTGCTGAACTTTTCCCTACTTTTTTGTGTTCTCCGGTGTCTAACAACTAGAAATGATACACTTTTGTGCAGTTTTATCTTGATAAGTTGGTCAGTATTGGTTTGTAGGTGAGGATGATTTTTTATAACATGTTGACGTTTTTGTCCTAACCTGATTGTGTTAATATATTTCAAAATAATAACTTAAAAATAGAATATCTTGTATTAACTAAAGCTTCTACCGATTACAGAAGACAATAAGGATGTAACCCTGAGAATCAGTTGCAAAGACTGTCAACTTCATCAATTTAGTCAACCCAGTTGTCGGATAGGTCGGAAAATTCATAAACCTTAACCTGTAGCCAATCAAAACGATACATAGTCTTCTATTTAAAACTCAACTACAAATTCTATCGAGAAAGTGTAAAAGTGTACAACTTGCATGCTCCGAAAGTCGAGGAAATAAAAACCAACTAGCATATGAGCAAAAACCGAATTAGTTAAAAACAATCAGCTTACTAAAAGTCAATTAGACTGTATACAGTCATTCGCAAAAATCATATATTCATCCAATAAGTCAAAAAGGAACACCACTGTGCTGTAACGGTAAAATACAAGAGACTTATTAAAGGAATGTTTATTTGGAATTTAGTATCTATGTATAGAGAAATTATGTACACCTTATCTCCGAATTGTCATTTGCACAGATCTTTCGTGTTGTTATGATACTGTTGCCCTTCGTATTGTGTTTCTTTGTCTTCTTTTCGTGTCCCCTATGTTTTGCCGCGACGCTGAATCATTTGCTCTCTTTGACGTCAGTTTATTCTGTATATAATATTCTTATGCTTATGAACTGCTCTTTATATACTACTGCTAGATCTTATCAGTGACACACACCACAGTCTATGTGATTGGTATATCGCTCCCCTGGTAAACTCAACAGTACTCTAGATCAGCAAGTTTTCTAAGTATGTGTTTGTGCAACGTAAAAAGTACTTCACCCCTTGATAAAGTCAGCTGGTGAAATCCTGTAACCAATCAAATTCAATCTCTGCAAAACAATACTTGAATTTTTCTTTTAAACATTGAAGCTCCCATTTTTTTTCAATTGGTTATGGTGATGAAAATACTTTTAAACAGAAAATATAATACACCTCCTGATTGCCAACTAGAAGATACCATTACTTAGTAAACAAAATTTCTTTCGACGGGATCATTTTAATAAATTGTACACCTGTTTTTAAATTTACTGCAAGTATATGTGTCGTCGAGTAGTGAGAGGAAGCTACGTAATAAGCAGACTGGTTCTTTCAAAAGATAAAGAGTTACGCAGCTATCGATAAGACGGAAAAGTTTGCAAAAAAAAGTGGAGTAAGAAAGTGTAGAAAAAGCGTCTCATCAGTTGGCAGGCCGTTTGCTAACTGTGAGAAATCTTAGAAGAAGGTAAGAGACTTTCAGTAATATCGGTTCTCTGATCTAGTTAGCGTAGACATGGGGCTTTCAGTATTATTCTAGATAAAAGCCCAGCACAAAAGTGTCCAGCAGATCCTAGGATGTTATTGGTTATTTTAATAACTTTCTTGTAGCTACACTTATGCATTTACCCACTGGTTGGTTACCTTGCTACTTCAGTTTAACCTTTGCAGTTGTTTTCCACTTTCTTATTCAAATTTGGGTCGATGTTTCTAGAGCTTTCAGAAAGAACCAAATGTCACGCTTCTGAATTTTTCATTGCATTCCTCGTATTTTCTACCTAAAATATTCACGTAGTCTAATCAAACTCATGCCCACATGCATAAATATTAGGAAAGATTCACCACGAAGTCATAACTACAGGAGCGATCAATCTTATCCTAGGTCATCACTATATTTTATTAAATATTTTGATAAACTCCAGTAGCTCATATGTTTCTGGTGTTTGTGGCTGAGGATACTGCTTAAAATGATAATGAAAGCCTGGCAATCAGATCGTCTCACTTATTAACCGCCAAATCATCCGCCTGAACTTCAAATGTTCCCAACCATCTTAAAACTGATCTGGTTAGTAGCTCTGTAGCATAGCTCTTCTTCCTCTAAGAAATATTTGTGTTCAGTTAGCATATATCGGTGTGTGTAAACTCCCCTAGACAGGACCAAAGGGACTTTTCGACTAAATTTTTCAAAATGTTAATAGATATGTATGGCTAAGAATCCACCTTCTATAATTGAAAAATATTGCAAAGCAATAAACACATTCTTGGCTATTTATTTCTTGGAAATACCTAAGCAAATTACCAATTCATTTCATAGGATACATTACCTGGTACTCGTATTATATCAAGTTTGTTTTTAAGTGGAGAATAACATCCCTGTGTTACTGAATTTGCGTTGGCGAGTCTAAGACACGCGTTTCACCCAATTTCGGGCCTATCAGCTGTTCGCATCTGCATGTCAGTGCGTAAAAGTCAACTTTAAATTTGAAATAACTCCAATAAAAGAATTTAATATGCTAACCACTACATTTACTTAACACATACTCTGGGTAGATTTTCGATAAACGTAGTTACTACTTATTTTTTTCTCTAAAACAAGTATAGAGTTTTATTTTCACACAGCTACTCTTTGCATGTCTGTCTTTCTGTCTACCTTTCACATATACATAATGGGAAAACGTTATAAGTATACATCACCACCTCAGCAGGACTTTTCATCTGTTCTTCTACTATATGGATATACATACTTAAAGAAATACAGTTTTTTGTATGCATTAAATTTTTCACTATCTTAATTATTTTATGCCTTCATAGGACTATGATATTAACGGTTCATTCATACAGTTGACATATGAACAACTAATAAACAAGTTAACAATTCTATCTGCTGTAAACAGTGATGTCTGGGATCAGTTTTTAAGCAAGCCGAAAGTACCACCCTCAGCTCGTCAAGCAATTCAAAGTCAATAATTAAAGTACTAATATTCCTTTCTTGTTCATGAAATGACTTTCGAATCATTTGACAATTTTCTACTGAGATGAAAAATTTTTGTATTTGGATAAATAAATATATACATTAGAGGAAAAAACACTCATGCGTTTTCTTACTTTTCAAAAGTGATATTAATTCTTAAAAAAATGTTTATATACTAAGAGAAGTTTATTTTGAGATCAACTGCAGGTAGATCATCGGACCATTGTAAAGTTTCATCAGTATATACAGGTTCAATTTTTTCATCTGTTATATATGATTCCCAAGCAGTTCCAAATAAGTGAACTAAAGTTGTAGTCAATACTAAATAAGTGAATTGATGAGGTACACATACAGTGTATCCTTGAAGAATATTACGTGCCCAATGCACAGGTAATGTTAACTCCAGTTTAGTTGAATTTTCTTCACCGGGAAACTTTTCAATGAAACGCTGCGGATCAAATGTTTTATAGGCTTGATTTTCTATGCCTATTCTCTTATTCTCATTGTTCGGTAAATCTGTATCCCATAAATCAGGATCAGAGTAGTAAGCAGGCTCATCGAAAAGCACCAATTCTCCTTCACTGAAATCTTGTCCCACAATCTGTCCATCACGAAAAGCTTGACGCAAACAACCAAAAGGCCAGCCAAGTGCACATAAGCGTAGTGTTTCTTGAATCAAAGCCTTTGTAAAAACTAGACATTTTGTATGCTTCAGGGAAAAACACAGATGTGACTGTTAAAAAACAAAAATGACAAAATATTACCGTGATTACTCTTACAATAATTAGTATTTTGAATTGTTTCATTAAGCTGGAAAAAAAGTGAAAAAGGACTAGTTACTTTCACTATCAAATAACAGCACATTTCCTTATATTTCAAGTATCATTCAATAATAAAAGAGCAGTTTTTTTAGTGAAGAAGACCGAGAAAAATTCCACCCATTCATCACATGATTGACCAAGCGCCTCAACAACTTTATCTTCACACGTTCGCATGTAATGAAAATGTCCGTCGGTGGCACAGTGGTTAGGACTCTAGCCGACCATGCACATGGTCCGAGGTTCGATCCCCTGCCGACGCACACCTGATATCTATGGTCGGCCTGTAAAATTTGGGCTACCGATATCCATGCTCAAAATTCCATACTTGTACCAGAAGTACAATGTGGAATCAAGCTGTGCGTACCATTATCGCTAAACTTCTTTGTTCCCGTCATTAAACATATCTGTGCAGAAAACAAGACTGCTTCGTACGACATGTAACATGAAATAAGAATAAGGACCTGTTATATGTATGATCTACACGTTGATTCACCGCTTATGTGGTACAATAATACTCAAAAGTAAAATAAGTGATTCTCGTCAAGGGAAATACATTGATATACTTAACTTCATAAACTGCTATTTCTAATGAAATGAAATAATAGAGGTTATGTTTTACTTTGAAATGCAGTCACGTGTTGTTAACTGCAGCACAGGAACACATCAGAAATTCAAGTTTAGTCTTGAAAGTGAATTGCTTAGTTAACTTCACGACTAAAATATATAAAGAACTGATTGCGTAGTAGATTGTTTTTAGCACAAATTTTCAGCGAAGAGACTCTTTTCAACGAATTTATTATCAAGCTGTACAATCGTATATATATGGTTTTATAAAGAAATTATATCCGGTGAGGGAATTAGGTCAAAGGTGTAAATACATGAAATAATAATAGTATGAAATAAATTTAAAATATTTGTGATTAGGTTCATAGTTTAAGTCAAGTGGAACAATAATTAATGTCATATATAAGATAATACATCGGGTGTATAGATTTTGGGGAGAGGCATATAATTGTAAGATTAATAGACGAATGTAAAATGTTACGTAATATGGTGTGAAATTTGATAACATAGAATTTAATATTGTAAAAATAAAGATAAAAAGTATACACATGAATAATTTTTGGTTTAAAATGTCGAGTAGATCAAGTGGAAAAGATTCAGAATGAGAGTCGTAATAATAATAATAATGATAATAATAATAATAATAATCGAAGTAATAAGGGAAAAGTACATAAAATAATAAAATAAATGTCTATCCCTCTACGGCCAAGGCAGCAGTAGGGATTGTACATACTTCTTTTGTACACAAAGGTCTGGCTTAAAGTCATGAATTGCCAAGGCCTCAGCTGTCTTTAGAAGTCTGTAACGAAGAAAACGCGGGAAGTTGGCATGAATTCTGTATAAGACCTTGAAATCATGGTCAGGGTTGACCGAGTGACAAGAGTCGATGAGGTGTTCTAAGATAGAACTTCGTACACATTTCCTTTCTCCTTTGTAAAACCAAGCTGGAATATGTTCTCGTATCCGTGTGGAGAGCATTCTCTGACTACGGCCAATGTACCTTGCTCCACAAGAGCAGGTGAACTGGTAGATGCACATGGAGGCGGTCAGACGGGGGAGCTTATCTTTTACAGAGATAGAGAACAGTTTGCGGCTCGTGAACGTCATATGTAGTCTAGCTGCAGGGAACGTTTTACTAACTGATTTAGAAAGACGATTATTGTCGTCTTTCTAAATCAGTTAGTAAAACGTTCCCTGCAGCTAGACTACATATGACGTTCACGAGCCGCAAACTGTTCTCTATCTTTGTAAAAGATAAGCTCCCCCGTCTGACCGCCTCCATGTGCATCTACCAGTTCACCTGCTCTTGTGGAGCAAGGTACATTGGCCGTAGTCAGAGAATGCTCTCCACACGGATACGAGAACATATTCCAGCTTGGTTTTACAAAGGAGAAAGGAAATGTGTACGAAGTTCTATCTTAGAACACCTCATCGACTCTTGTCACTCGGTCAACCCTGACCATGATTTCAAGGTCTTATACAGAATTCATGCCAACTTCCCGCGTTTTCTTCGTTACAGACTTCTAAAGACAGCTGAGGCCTTGGCAATTCATGACTTTAAGCCAGACCTTTGTGTACAAAAGAAGTATGTACAATCCCTACTGCTGCCTTGGCCGTAGAGGGATAGACATTTATTTTATTATTTTATGTACTTTTCCCTTATTACTTCGATTATTATTATTATTATTATCATTATTATTATTATTACGACTCTCATTCTGAATCTTTTCCACTTGATCTACTCGACATTTTAAACCAAAAATTATTCATGTGTATACTTTTTATCTTTATTTTTACAATATTAAATTCTATGTTATCAAATTTCACACCATATTACGTAACATTTTACATTCGTCTATTAATCTTACAATTATATGCCTCTCCCCAAAATCTATACACCCGATGTATTATCTTATATATGACATTAATTATTGTTCCACTTGACTTAAACTATGAACCTAATCACAAATATTTTAAATTTATTTCATACTATTATTATTTCATGTATTTACACCTTTGACCTAATTCCCTCACCGGATATAATTTCTTTATAAAACCATATATATATACGATTGTACAGCTTGATAATAAATTCGTTGAAAAGAGTCTCTTCGCTGAAAATTGTGTTCTTAATGCTACAATGGGAATTATTAAATTATTTAGCACAAATTTCAATCCACAGTGGTTTTAGCTTTCAGTATCTTCGTTTAAAAATCGCATATCATTTAGTGCACTTCTGTTTGATAGCTGCAATTTCCATCCTTCTTCTCTGTGGTTACAAAGATCGCTACTAATTTCCTCTCTGCATTACCGAAAATCTAATTGTTGCTACAAGATAGCTACAATTACAGTAATGTGCTTCACTTTAATTTTTAGTTGTGTTCACCAACCATGTAACTGATACAATTCATGAATTAAGTGAGAATACATTAGGTAAGGTATCCAACTCCGACCGGTTCTGAAGCGATTTGTTATCATCTATTGAGAAATTCTTCTAATTTACAGTACAATGCTAAACTGCTTGTTTAAAATAACTATATACTTTTTAAATATATATATATACGACTGATTTATGAATAAAAATTAAAGTGTTCCCTAAAATATGGCTCAACAAATATGTAGGAAATAGTGGAGATGGATCGGGCCTACACTGAGGAGGCCGCCGAATACTGTCGCACACCAGGCCATAGTTCGAGTGGAAACCAAATGGGAAGCGACGAGTGAGTTATCCTAGGGTGACATGGAGGAGACCGTGTGAGGAAGAGATGAAAGAGTTTGGTCAGTCGTGGGCCTATCTGAAGAGGACGGCAGAAAACAAAACAAATTGGAGATGTGTTGTTGAAACCCTATGTTCCACTAGGAACGCAGGGGAATAATAATATAATAACAAAAATATTTAACTCACTGGGCAGTGGGTAGGGGATGGAGACATTGGATTTGTCCTATTATAATAATTCTCTAGAAATTGCTTGCACTCTTTTCGCAGATTATCCTGCCATTCAGGTTTAAGAGCGAGTACTTTTAACAAGACTTTTAGATTTTTGTTTAATGTTTGCCTAGTTACTAAACAGCATTCAACAAGTAAATGAATAATATGTGTCAGAGTTAGAAATTCATTTGAGCTTCCTTCTTCTTTTAAATAGTGATAACTAATAATAAGTTGTAACAATAAATTTGTTGACTTTTTGCTTTCCCGTAAGCATTCAGAATCACCATTATGATTGTCAATGGCTTGATCTAAATGATGACTAGTTGAATTCTTTGTGTATTCTTCAGAAGACAGATATTTCTCTAAGTAATAATGTATTAAAGGATTGATGAGATTGTAGAAAGCACTAATCAGGTTGTTATTGTTGCAGGACTTGGAAAAGTTCATAAATGGTAGAAAAGATTTTAATAAATTTGATGTTTCTGAACAATATCCATGTGTATGCAATAGTTCCAATGAGGTTATGTGCTCTCTAAGTTGTAGAACAAACTTTTCTTTTTGTAAAGCTGACATATTTTCTGGTGTAAACTCATAAAATACTTCACGTGAACCGAAGAAAAATAGTTCTGTGTGCATGCTGCATATCCATTTATCTAAACGTATATCGAATGGTACACCATTGTCAATCAGTATACCACCAAAAGCCTTGGGATCAGCCCCTAATTGTCCAACGCGTTCAAACATTCTCATCGGCAAAGCACTGAATGCTAGAATTACAAGCTCATGTAATTCCGATCTAAACTGTAACGTATCGTCAGCAATCATTAGTCCATACCATTTTCGTCTGAAGGATCCTGAAAAATATTGAATTGAAAACAACATTAGATTGCAATGGATTTTTGTCTGAGTGTAAGAAAAAAGCATATACTTCGAGTATAATAACTTTGTATTTGCCGGCTCTATTCAATTAGATAACCTTGGCGGCCTGTTGAATTTTTGGGCCTGCTACCAAAATATCTACATTTTGCATCCAGTTTCCTGTTTACCAGCATACACTTATCACTTAAATATGAATTCTAACAGAATCATTTACTCTCGTAACTTTATTAATAATTTACGACCAAATGACTTTCATATTCCAAAGAAACCAAGAAGGAAACATCGTAGTGGTTGGCAGAGAGCTCTCAAACGTACACCAATACACTTAACTACGGTCCCCGTCATAATGAACTCAAACTGTCGCTCTCTACCAAATAAGATAATGTATCTACAATCCCTGATGTCAACTGATACGTATCATAACACTGCCATAATCGCATTACAAGAAACGTGGTTGCATGAACTGTATGATGACAACCTTATCTCACTAAAGGACTTTATTTTATTTCGACAAGACCGTCAATGTTGTAATAAGAAAAATGGTGGTGGCGTTGCAACTTTTATTCACTCCAAATGGTCTGTCTCAAATAACATCTGCTTCACCTTCTCAAATGACTTCATTGACTGTATTACTGTCAAATGTCGCCCCAAACACCTCCCCAAATATCAACAATTCTATATTACAAACATGTACATTTCTCCTAGTTGCTCTCCATCTGATCTATCTAATTTTGCTGATGAATTCACCATGTTTGCTGCTGCCAACTTCGACAACTCTCTATCCGTTATTACTGGAGACTTCAACACATCAGATTGCTCCTTTCTTGAAGCTCTTGGTCACACAAATATAGTCAAATTTCCCACTCGACTTGACAAAACCCTTGACTTGGTTTTTACCAATGATGAAGGAGTATATGAAACACGTAGACGTTCACCGATACATAACTCCGATCACTGCATTGTCCGCGTTTTGCCAAAAATATACAGCAAAACACATATTAAAATCTTCTCACACCTGTCCACGAAGGCACAACAAAGAAGCTACACATCTGACAACTTACTCAATCTAAGATGCATGTTAAAAGATACCAACTGGGATCTATTCTATGAAAGTACATTAGATGACTCAATCACCAATATAATGGATTATCTTAAGTTCTGCCTTGACATATGCTGTCCCAAACAAACACTGTTCAAACGCCTCGACCGCTTCTCGTCTCCCCATCTCAAACAACTTCGCAGGCAAAAAGAAATGTTATATAAATGCAAAGACAAGTTAGGACTTAAAAAGATAAATGCTCAAATCAAATCTGAAATCAAAAATCTTAATGCTATCTATAACCAAACACTTTTATCATGCAAATCTCCAAACAGCATGTGGAAACTTTTCAATGAAATTACTGGCAATAGTAAGCGATGTAATGTTTTTCCCTCTTGTGATGTTAATGCTCTTAATCTGTCTTTTATACGCTCTCCTTCTACCATAACCACTTCTAATGTTACCAATCTTGTAGCTGATAACTTCCAGGACTTCAATACTCTCGATGTTTTGAAATGTCTTAAAACTCTTAAGCCCTCACATAGTCTTGGCCCTGATGGCATACCTGCATATGTCCTAAAACAATGTGCAGATGCTTTATGTTCTCCTCTAACTAATATCCTAAATGCTTCTTTCTCCGAAAACGTTGTACCTGTTCCATGGAAAGACATTAAAATAGTCCCTGTCCCTAAACCTGGAAATAGCAAGAACGTAAAGTTCAGACCCATCGCCATCACTTCCCCGTTTCTAAAGCTCATGGAAAAACTAATACTTCTTAAACTCGAACCCTCCCTTAAAAGCTTCGAAGACCCCAAACAATTTGCCTACAGACAGGGTAGGAGTACTTTAGACGCTGCAGCCGTCTTACACAACAGTATTGTCTCATCATTAGACAAAGGTGCCAAATATGTCCGCTGCACGTTTCTTGACTTTACTTCTGCTTTCGACTCTGTACCTAGAAGTCTCTTGCTAAATAAGCTCTCCACGACACAAACCGAGTCTTGGGTCACTAAGTGGTTGCATTCCTACTTTTCAAACAGAATGCAGTACACCGTATACAAAGGTCAATCCTCCTCTGCTGTGCTCACTGAATCTGGTGTCCCCCAAGGTGCTGTACTCTCCCCACTTCTCTTTTCATTCTTCCTACATGACCTACCGTCTTCAAATGATATTAACTTTGTCAAATATGCTGATGACCTAACTGTATCTTTACCTGTCAAATGTCAAAATGACTGCTCTAAACTAAATGGCTTCTTATCAGAAATTAGCCAATGGTCCAAGGAAAACGGTCTAACCTTAAACCCCTCCAAATGCCAAACAGTTAATTTCACCTTTAGGCATAAATCTGACCTAAACAAACTGGTTAGCGCTCACGAGGTGTGCAACATAGATGGCACTGAAATAGAAACTAAGTCGGAAATTAAATACCTAGGCGTCACTCTATCTTCTGATCTTTCCTGGTCGTCTCATATCTTGACGATTTCCAAGAAAATATACCGTCTTACCTTCTACATCAAGAAGTTAAGACATTCTGGTGTAACCCAACCCTTACTACTACAATTTGTTAACTCCCGTATTCTGCCTATAATTCTCTATTGCTCCCCCTTAGTCTTTCCTGGGCTATTGAAGAAAGACTATACCTTATTACGTAGGATGTTAAAGGTTGTCAGCAGGGTAAGCAGTTTGCCACTTAGCCAGCTTGTTAACATTCTGGTGGACAGGCACATGGACTCATGTGAAAAATGGGCGAAGTCCATTTTATCTGACTCACAACACCCTCTACACTCACAACTCTCCCCATGTATCTCTTCAGGGAAAACAAGAAGTCTATATAGGAAACTATATGCCCGCACTAGTAAGTACAAAAACTCATCCATACCCTACCTAGCCCGTGTTCTGTGTGATAAAGAATGCATCAGGCATGAAACCTTTAACTTATTAAATAGTCACTAGAACCAATGAATCTCGTCTTTCCAACTCACATCATTTATAGGTACAACGTTTTCTTTCTTTTCATTCTGTATTTATTTTTGTTATGTGCTGTTTTGTTTCTCTCTTCCTTGCAAACTCTACTTAAAACATTCTTGTTCGTTCTTTTACACTCTGTATATCTCGACCATTTTGCTATCGCTTACGCCAGTAAATATGCTAGTAGTATCTACTTTTGTAACACCTTCAAACATTTTAATTTTGGCTTTGCTACCGACATACTAATATGTTGTTGAGATAATCTTTAATCTATGTAGAACTTTATTTATTGTTAATGTAAAAACTGGATGCAATATTGTAGTAAAATGCTGAGAATTCCATTCTGTATCACAAGTACTGATTTGGAATAAAGCTTATATAATAATAATAATAATAACCCACATGACTCTTTTAACCCTGTTACTCCACACCTTTCAACAAAAATCAAAGTTTGTTAACTTGAAACTGAGCTAACAACATCCATTATCAGTTTACGTGAATAGCTTACAACTAAACGCCACTTACCCACCAACATGCAGGGAAAACATTACATAATTATATATAAGAAACCATATAGAAACCACCTGAAGTGAAATACACGAGTTAATATCATTGAGTCTATAAACGATTATTGTGGTAGAAAACAGGATACATAATAATGTAATAAGTGGGATAGTGGTGAAACTATTAAGAGAACACGTTGTATGGATTTTTTGAAGGACCACCTCCCTGCTAAATGCATCGAGTCGGTAAATAATTTGGTGAACCTGAGTTGCAGAATGGCTGAAGTTTCATGGAAAATACTTGCAAAACAATTGTTCTCCAAAATATTTAAAATTTCTTTAACCAAGTAAGCTTCATCTCATAGGAAGAACTTTTGATGTATAAAAAAGTGCCAGACAGAATCGACAAGAAAATAAATTTAACTGTAAAATGAGATACTGACGTTTAGATCGACAGCTTGAAAGTTCAACTTCATCCAAGATATCCAGACTAGAGCCGTGAATAGGTTCTGGAAGACCCTGCAGAAGGCTTTAGTAAGACGAACCATTTATATTATAAATTATTTAAATTAATCCCAGTGCGTTAAGAAAATCAAAACAGGATTTTTCTGAACGTTTCGCCGTGTAAGCCACAGCTTCTTCAGCAGATTTATTCGGAATATAAATAAATCTGCTGAAGAAGCTGTGGCTTACACGGCGAAACGTTCAGAAAAATCCTGTTTTGATATTCTTAACGCGCTGGGATTAATTTAAATAATTTATAATGAATCAACCTGACTCGGCGCTCAAATTATTCCAGGAAGTTCGTAACACCTACGGTCTGGAAACCTAGAACCATTTATATGTATTATGTCCAATATTAAACTGAATCAACTAAGAATTGAAGTGCATTTTATGCTGCAAATTCTGTTCTTTTTGTTTTGGCCTTAGAAAATATCCTGTTTATTCTTCGTACATGCGAGTTCACAAGAAAACAGTTAGTGTTACCACAGACCTTTGTCTATTAATTTCGCCGAATGTACAGTCGGAATACAAACTATGAATAAACGGTATCTGAAACTCCAATATGAGAGAGTTCTAATCTGCTGTTAAAGATCAAAGACTTAAACCAATGCATCTCTTTGTACAATTTCACGTTACTTTGCTTGCCTGTCTTCTAACATTTACGGATTTAAATAAATTAAAGTATATTTTCCCTCTGCTAGTGTATGCTCTGCCAGAAATGCGTCACATCATTTAACGAAGGAAGGATATAGAGAAGTAAAGCGTCACATAAATCTACTGGCTGCGTCGGTGGAACAGTGGTTAGGACTCTCGACGACCATGCACATGGTCCGGGGTTCGAGCCCACACCGGCGCACACCAGATATCTATGGTCGGCCTGCGAAATTTGGGCTACCGATATCCATGCTCAAAATTCCATACTTGTACCAAAAATACAGTGTGGAATCAAGCTGTAAATCTAAAAAAAAAATCTAAAATTTTTCGCACTTAGTAGCAGCAACTATTGTAAGATGTTGGCAATCATAGAAGCATCCAAAAAAACTGGTGTTTTCCATGTGAAACTGTATGTAGAACCCTTATAGTCTTAACACCGATAACCTCAAATCTCAATTGAGAGAATTGTATTGTAAATATTACGAAAACTCAAAGAGGACTGCTTGAACTTTAAATATCTCAATCGGTTTGTGGGATTTTAGTCAGACTTTGAACACATGAACTAAGAATAGCAATTATATCAATTACGAGATCCTTACAATGCTTTTCTTAGCATTTTTTTCAACTTTCCTGAAGACAATGAATCAAACGTTGTAACACCTTATAATTTTCCCTTACCGTTTAATGCAATTCTTTATTTGGAAGCTACATCAATTCAATGGGGTTTTTAATTTCCGTTAAAAAATAAGTGTACATTAAACATGTATGCTTTGAAATGGCATTCTTTTAGAGTACAACATTATAAATCTTTCGTCGAATTGCTAGTTAAATTGTGAATCACGATCAACTACATATCAAAGTGAGGAATCAAAGAAACCAAAAAATGTAGTTATGTAAAGTTCAATAGATGTTTCATTTCTAAAACGGTGTATCACCCCTCGAAATGGTACTGATGATTCACAATACCTTAGTGGATTTTAGCTAAGATGTCAAAGGTAAAACACTAGTAAAACTTTGTTTCTAAATTGATTCAATATGTGGGTGAAATTTATTTTGATAAATTAAAGATAAGTAATTTAGAAAAAAGCTCAGCAATTGCACTGCATACATTAACACACAACCACACAATAGAGTGGAATAGGGTTAAAATTCTAGGATGTAATATAGGTAGGGGAAGAGAGAGGTTGACTATTGAATCCTTATTCATCGAGTCTACACCCAACACGTGCGATAGGAATGACTCATACCGGAAATATGGAAAATACTACTACCAATCAAATCAACAGTGAGAAATAGTGGAATCATATAAACGAAGTTATAATATCGCGTGAGTAACTTGATATGATTATGAGCAATAAACTGTGCTCGAAACGTCATCAGTAAATATTACTGTATGATACTGTAAGACCTTATCAAAATAAATGTTACCCACTATGGTATTATACTCTACCAAAGTGCACGAGTTCTATTCTTACATCACTGATTCAATATGATTAGTGTCTGATAAGCACGATATCCTGCTTCTTACCAGTAATAGTATTTAAGGGGAAAGTATGATCTACAATTAAATGAGATAAGACAAGGTATACGACAACAAGAAGCTACATATGAACGATTGTTCTAAACTTACTTGGAGCCAAAGAATAGTGAATATCTAACAAAGTGAAATGACTATATAGCGTAATCACTTTCCAGTCTTCAACAAAAAGAACTTTTTGATGATTTAGATAACCCCTTACTATTGGAAACTTTGGTTTTCTGTACACAAAAGAAGACGTCAAGCGCGATACTCCATTGCGACATAGATCGCTGAAACTTTCAAAGTTTAAACCGACACCAGCTGGTGGGTTGGTGTAATGCTGAAAGACTGCAACTAAATAAATGTAAAAACTTACCCTTCTTGAAATACGCCAAGCCAGGAAGATCAAGAAGAATGTAAACGACAGTGTTGTCGATACAATTCGCAAGGTTAAGTCTAGTGATCGGCTTTCCGTGAATAGGCCTCCATAAGTGTATAATCTTGGTGGTGGTTCCATCAACCCTGAAATAAGGGAAAATATGATTATTTCTCCCCTGGCTCTACATAAAATAACACACCTTTTTGCATGCAGGTAATGTATGTGTCTAACGATGTATATACAAAGCAAGGGCGACTCAAGCCTCTCTCTGCAAGAACTGACGTGGAATTATGCTCTTATCCAGGCCAAGTATAATACTAAGTCACATCATCCTGGAGAGAATATAGGATGCACTGGGTACTTACTTACTTAGTTTACTTCGGCTATCTCCTACGGGAGGATGAGCCGGCTTCATGAACATCTCGAATTATCGCTGCCCAGGCGCGGCGATCTGATGCAAGGTTTTGCGGCAGGGTTATCCAATTCTTGTTCCACAGACGGAGTCCGTAGACGGTTTGTAGCCCCAGGCACTCCATATCAGCCTTGACTGTACCTGCACTGGGTACAGAACTCCGCCACCCACCGGGACAAGCTAGTTGGATTCAGGAAAGGCGAATCATGTGTTGATCAAATCGCAGCTCTACGCACTGTCATCACACAACAAAGCATAGAGTGGCAGTCAAACATCGCTCTGCCTCAACCTCATCGACTTCGAAAAGACCATCAACAGACAGCATTGACTGAGAGGTAACTTGGAAACCACTTCAGTACTACGGCATATCTCGAGTCTTTATCAACCTCATTCAACAGCTATATGACAATGTTACGTGTCAGGTGATCCCTAACGGAAGATTCAGAGAGGCGTTCGAAGTGCATACAGGGGTAAGACAAGACTGGTGACTATTATCACCGATGATATTCTTTCGAAGCCATTAAGAGACAGTGCTAACTGAGAAGTAACTTGGAAGCTACTTCAACACTACGGCATACACCGATAAGAAGACTCTGGAAGATCTGGATTTCGCAAATGATATATTTCTAATGTCACACTAACTCGAGGACTTACAGGCGAAAAGTGGTAAACTGGCTGAAGAGGCTGGCAGCGAAGATAGGAGTCCAGGTGAACATAGAGAAGAAGGAGATGATGAAGATAACCAACCACCACTAACAGCAACAACAGCCAGCACTAACCGTCATCTGCGGGAGAGACTTAACACAAGTTAACTCCTTCACTTATCTAGGAAGCATCGTTTTAACTACAGGTGGAACGGATGAAGATGTCAAAGCCAGGTAGAATCAGAAAGGCAAGATACGACTTCATCAACCTGAAACCAGTTTGGAAATCTTCTACACTCATCATAAGGAACAAGATTCGCATTTTTAACACCAATGTCAAGTCGGTTCTTCTATACGGGTCAGAAACTTGGCGCGCAACGAACAGGATTTCCAACAGGTTTCAGACTTTCACAACAGCTGCCCTCGCTGACTCGACACTGAAGAACAAATGGCCAAATAGAATTAGTAACAAGGAACTGTGAGAACAAACAAACCAAGAGCCAACTGTTCAACAAATATGTAGGAGAAAATGTAGATGGACTGAGCATACATTAAGGAGGCCATCGAATGAAATCGGGCTCCAGGCCACCACTCCAATGGAATCCAAATAGGAAGCGACGAGTGAGTCATCCGAGGGTGACACGGAGTAGATCGTTTGAGAAAGAAATGAGAGTTTGGTCAGTAGTGTACCCGGCTGAAGGGGACGGCAAAAAAGAGAACAAAGTGGAGATTTGTTGAGGCCCTATATTCCACTCGGAATTCAAGGGAATAATAATAATAAAGTATACACAAAACGAAGTCATTTGAACACTCCAAGAAAATATATGAATACTTTTGAGATGGGTTTCCCCATACAGCTTGACTTAGAGCTGTCATATGTAAGACGATGCTAAGAAGCTTGTTCAAAACGTGAAATGGTTAAATACACTTACCATTCTACCCATCTGCGAAGTCTTATCAGTCCTGAGAATCCGATCTCTGGCGAAATATGGTTCCGCATTCATCAATATATGCCAAATTTATAGCTAAGGTAACATCTGAATGTCAGTCATAGGGCAATTAATACACCTATTTACGACTCAGAATAGGTTGCCACAATTAGATTTGAGAATATTAGATGTTTTTATTCATTAAAACAATTAGTCCCTTTGATAAATATATTTTTCCTCCACCACTTTTCTGCATCAGTCGGGGAAAAATGTTGGGCAATAATAAAGTCATGCGTAGTGTTAGGTAAAGAGAGTAAGTCGGCTGATAAAGTAATAAAGCTTAATGGATTAATATCCGTGGAATACGTACTATATATGCTTATATACCGTTTCCAGAAGCATACAATCAGGATGGGAAAAAGTTAATGATGGTCAGTATCAAGCTATGGAGACAATGAGTGGTTATTTCGAGCCAAGTTAACGCTGTATCTTTGGGATCATCAGGATGCTTAACTTAAGTAATTGAAGACTGATCATAACGCAGCCCAAAGGGTTAAAATAACATAAATGCATTTTTTCACAATTTTATTGACCGTGAATAACATTAGTTTTAATTCGGTTATTCTCTCTATCTCACATAGTATTGTGCAGCGCAGCAGCCTTCTCGTTTGGCTTTTTAAAGTAGGGTTACTTGAAATGTTATACTCCTGTGTCAAGTTCCATGACGGCTTGTCGGTTAGCGAGTTAACAGTAACATAAGTAATATTTTTACATCTTTCTACATTGTCGCGTGGTAGTATGCAAGCAATTTCCACAGACTTACAGACTTATTAAGCACAGTTGTTAAATAATGTGTTTTAAGCAGCGGAATTTTTAGGATTAGGAAAAATAGCAACCCAATTTCAAATACAGCTGTAATAAACCTCGTGGTTACTACCATGCAACAGACTGTTATTATCCCAATCTGGCGATTTTCATAGGGCTCAAAAAGAACACGTATATGACAAGTCCAAGAAATGTGAAATAAAGCAGACAAATCATTTTAAGATTTTGGATATTTTACATTATATATATAATAAAATCATGTTAGCACATTATATTCAAAACTTTCTCTCAGTCGGAAAATTTTGTCGCGAACATTAGTAAAGTTGGGCGAAACGCGAAATGAATTCTTTCCAGAAGAATGATTAGGCAAATGCTAAAACATGATTTCACAGCTACTTTGAATACATAGTTTTTTTTTAAATTAATAATACGAATGAGGTAAGAGTATGTACAAAAATGCGCTTATTAATTTTCACTACCATGGTCTTGAACTACGCTATACTTCACTGGGACCTGTGTAATTTTCGCAGTTCTCCCACTTTATCTGAAAACTCCCAAAACCCTGAAATCGCCCCCCCCCCCAAAAAATGCCAGGAAAGGCCCCTCGATCAATTATTCTACAAATACCATAAGAATTAGTCTCTACAGAGACTAAGAGTAATTCTGATCAGAACGCTCAGTAATAGCTAGGATCATTTAAATTAAGCCAACCAGATTTATGACTGCCCAACCGGAAAACTGCGGCGATAGAAAGGTGAGATTTTTAAGGAAAGGGCGTCAGAAAATGGGAACCTTTGGAAAGGGTGGAAATAAATCCAATGTATGCGAGAGAAAAAAGAGGTCACCTTGATCAGCGCACACTGAAAACCTCAAGATAACTTCAGTGTTGTGCGAAAGGTGATTGAGAATGAGACAACAATTTGAAATACCATTGCGGTGGTTTCACTTCGGTTAAAGAACAACCGCTTTAGGGAAATTAATTTGGTCTAAGTGCCAACTCATAATACCACAGCTAGACCGACTCAAACAACATCAAACAGCTACACAAACCTCTTACTTTCGTAAATTCAAGAAGACCAGTTAAAATGCCTCCAAAAAGTGAAATCAATTCACATGATTCAAACAATTTCCAATACACTCAGCTGCTATGGGTAGCAAATGCGCTTACTCTGTTGGAATAACTGCCCTAATAAATCGTAGTATACGTTAATTATCACTGAGGTTTTCAACGTGATGCGGTCTTTCATGAAGGAGGAAGTATCGGTAATTATTGATTGTTCAGAGTTTGTACTAAAGAATATCAGTTATGCTACTGAGCGTTAACCGTAACTAACTTGTATGGGAAATCCCTTAATTTGCGCTTACCAGATGCAATAAAATTTAATGATATGGGCATCTCTAAGATTGAACATGCGGGCTTTTACTTCCATTAACAAGCTTGTTGGGTGACTTCCAATATCCAATATCGTTTTTACGAGCTAGTATAAACCAATTTGATTTCTTTGTGCTCGCTTCTTGATTATGAGGTATAGGTTCCTGATCTTCGGTAAACCTCTGCGTAGCTTGTCCCGCCACTCGACTGTCGTAGCTTTGGTTGACTCCAAAGGGAGTAGTGCTGGGATTAATTATATGTGGTTTGTAGTATGAGGTATGTTAAGACTGTTACTACTGTGATTGGAGTTGATCCTTTCGCCAGTTAGTCCTTCGGTATCGTCGACAAGAGAAAAGAGATAGTAATAATAATAATAATAATAATAGTAATAGATATAATTAGTGAAGCTATTCAGACTAAGAGACAGAAACGAAAATAGGAAACCTAACAACAGTCAGCTCATTAAGTTTGAAGAATAATATATATATCGGTAATAGTAATAATAATAATAATAGTAATTATAATATCAATAAGTTATCAGGAGAGTAAGACGGGAGAGAATGTAAAGAAGTAAAATGACGAGTTTAATTATCTACCTCTGATTGGTATATGCGACTTTAAGGAGATAGACCATTTGGATGCAGTCCTTGTATCGCTGCATGGTTGTCCAGCCTTCGCTTAAAGGCGTCCAAAGATGGTGTCAAGAGGTTGGCGTATCTTCTCAGCATTGGGGGTGCAATAATATTATGCACTTCAAGGTGTGGCCTGACGTATGTTTTGGTGATTTTTCCAGCCACTTAAGTCAATTAACATATATGTCACCACGTGAGGAAAAACTGTCTTAAATTTAAAAAACAGGTACATGACTGTCAACTTTCAACTAATTTTTCAAACTGCTCGACCACATAATTCAGTAAGGGACAAGTCGGACCACAAATAGTCGATGGCCTTAGCTGTTACACACGGCGCCTACGAAAAATCAGACCTGTTAGCACCCTTGTTGTGATTACGGTGCTCTAAACAAAAACCCGTCCCAGACAGATATCCAGTACCACACGTAAAAAATTAATTAATGGTCTTCGATTTTCATTAAAATAAACAGTTCAAACCAGCCAAAGAACTCCGGTGACTGAGGAGGATATACCTAAACAGGTATCGATACCCCATCCGAATCAAACGAGTTCCTTTGGATGCAGTCTGGTCCCAGGAATACATCTCAAACTTTTCGAATATTTATGGATGACTTGCTTCGTGAACTGTGCGTCGGTGGCACAGTGGTTAGGACTCTCGACGACCATGCACATGGTCCGGGGTTCGAGCCCACACCGGCGCACACCAGATATCTATGGTCGGCCTGCGAAATTTGGGCTACCGATATCCACGCTGAAAATTCCATACTTGTACCAAAAATACAGTGTGGAATCAAGCTGTTACCAAAAATAAATAAATAAAAAAATTCACGGATGCGTACACAGACGTCTTATTCATCGCTGAGCCAGATGAAAAATGCACATGAATATCACATTCTAGAAGTATTACGCAGCCTGACAGTCCATCAAATTAAGTGTGTATTAGAGGCAGAAACAATAGAGTTCCTGTGGCGTGTTTACTGACAGTACCAGAGTCGCACCAGTACACCTGCGCACCATACATGAAACCTTTGACTGATGTATCAGAGGGAAACCAAAAGGCTTTCAGCTGACCAAATACGCATCGACGTAATCACATAGCTAAAACAACCATCTACTAAAGTCACACTCTTGAAATACCCTGATTCAGGTGCATTACTGACAGATGCATCAGATGCGGCCATAGGAGTGGCTCCAAATCGGGTATTTGGGAACAATAGGAAACCAACTGAATTTTCTTCTGAACTGCTTAATCATACTAACTGACAGTACTAAGGGTCTATTTAGCAGTTAAACGCTTTCTTTATGTGGCAGAGACCACAGATCACAAGACTCTTACTCGAGGTCCTTACTCGAAAACGGCCAAACGCTCACCACGTGAAATTCATCACTTTTATTTTTCGCCTCAGTTTACCTGTTAAATTAGACGAGTCAGTGGAACAGGGAAATGTGAGAATGATGCACTGTCCAGAATCCAGGGGAACGCAATACAACAAACCACTGCAGACTTAAAATTACTGACCGAAAATCAGAAGACGGACAGAGTTGAAGAATATTCTCATTACAAATAACCCCAATCTCAAACTGAGACAAATACGATCTTTTTAGTCGGCAGCTTTATATACTCTCTACATCACCTGTGTTATTCATGGTTGTGTCCATTTTTCCGTAAGAACCAGCCCTAAGTCGTATTCTGACGTTACACATAGCAAGTTGTTACTGTCAATGTAGATGAAGAACGAACGATCAATTCATGGTTGTTTGCTCAAGTCGAACTCCATATTTTGGCGGGAGTCATCGATACTGCAGTCATCGTTCCATCGTTTGCTGTTCGTTAGAAGACGGAGAAATACTATCAGAAGTATTACTGTGATTTATTCTTATGAAATTTACTCTTAGATTTTGTGTACAACAACCTTATGGTCGGTCCTATATTGGTGCAAGAATAAAGGATTCGTGAGTCATCAATCTGTGTTCTGGTTTCTCGCGTTGGTTATTACACTTAGTTACTGGAAATCTTCTAAGGAGAGCGTGAAGTCCAGAGTAGTTAGACCTGGATTTTTGACAGTTGCACATGCGGTAACTTCATTCTCTGGTCTACAGGTTTGTGGTCACATCACTTTGTATTCTGCCAGTTTTTAAGTCATACAATTGACCAGCTTTCACTCTTTAAAATCTTTAGGTCTGTCAGCAGAAAACATACTCTTTTTGGCCGCACATTCAAAAATAAAGGTCTATAGGTACCAGTACTATTTTAAAATATTAGGAAATGTCGGTTGGTAATTTGAATAATTATTTTGCTACCAAATCCATTTTCTAAAGTCGAACTTGATGTAGTGCTACCTTTTCGACCACGCCCGTTCAAAGTTCTTACTCACTTTATTCCCATTTGGATTTAGAAGTGGAGTGTGTGTGAAACATATTTATACTGTTGATGGTGGATGTAAAAAATTCATGCCTGTATTAAGATTCGGTGACATTTCGGTACATACCTCGCGGCAACGATACACAAATGATTGTTAACTGCCCAAACGGTGTCTGCATAGCCTTTATCGTCATATCTTTTTATGTAAATTTATATTTTTATACAAAAATATACAT